AAAGAGCAAGTGTTGAAGCAACAAGGGTAGAGGACAGAGTGGAATATACATCCTCGTTTGGTGTAAACTGCCTTTCATCTCTGTAGTTCAAGCCTGGCTTCTGGCGCCTAAAAGTGTAGTCTGGTCGAAGTAATTTTGTTGTTTATAGTTTGGTGCCACTTAGAAAGGCTACTAGAATTGTGTGCAGCAGTCATTCTCCAGACCAAATTCCTGGTCTGATTTAATTGTGTAAACCAAAATAAAGGAATAAACCATCAAGTACAAAGTCAGTTTTAAAACTGTTGTTATGTATTTGAACTTTCATTAGTTTAAACAGAGCTGTGTCTCAGAGATCTCCTCTGTACTAGGAAAAGAGTCAAACATCAAAGAAGGTAAATATTGACATGGTGGGTGAAATCATCAATAACAAAAACTTTGTGAATACACAGGTGATTGCAAGTGGAAAACATTTTATTTATCGTTCTGACTTTTGCTCTGTGAGCATCAGAACTGCTTTCTTTGGGCAATGTTCCTAGTTGGCCAGGATGTGTCTAATCTATTGATCAACACGAAGTCATTAAGACCTGTTCAGATCAAAACTGTCTGTATGCATGGTCTTCCCCACCTTTTAAGACTGTTGCCTTTTAACACACATACACATGCAATTCTTCACAACAGTTTTTCTAGCAAATCTATTTATGAAAGGGATTCTTATGAAAGTATGTTTGATTTGTCCATATTGTGTTACATTGACAGAACTAAAGGATCTGACTTCTTGATATTGATTCCCATTTACCACTGGGATAGTTTTATCAGGACTATTTGCAAGTACAGAGCATTTCACTGAAAAACACTGGTAATCTGGTAATCAGACCAGATAAGTGTAACACCACACATAGTGCCTCTGATCAAAGTCTGATTTTTTTACCTCTGCTTTTTCTCCATTTATATTGGAGCATTACATAACACCTGAAGCAAACTGAACAGTGAAAGTGTTGGAAGTCTAAGCAAGTTGGAATTAGCAAGGATTTGTTTAATGAAAGGCAATTCCTATTCAGACTTGTTTACAAACAAAAGCTAGTAAGATCAGCATTTATATATGCTGTTCTTGTCTAATTAAAATATCCAGTCTGAAGTTAAAAATGTTAAATTTGCAGAAAAGAAGTGGGGGTTTGCTGATAATATTTATTACTGTTCTTCTTCCCCCCTCCTGTTTAGGTATGTATGTGTAAACATGTGCATGATATGTGTTTATGTCTATATTTTAACAAGGATAAAAGCTACCATGTGGGCAGATACTAAGGCAAACCCAGAACAGTTGTAATTTTCAGTTTCACTCAGCTGTTTGGTACAGTGGAAAAATTTGATCTTCCCTCTAAGTACAGAAGGTTCAATTGTTGAGTGAGTTTTTGCCAGGGGTATTTGTAACTAAGGATAAGCAGTTCAGTTATGGTGCTTTTTGAGGTTACAAATGTTCAAACAGTAGCACTACTTTGAGCTGACTTGTACAGTTGCCTCTTCTTCTGTCTTTTAACTTCTCTTTTGGATGGCATTTCAGAAGGTGGTGAGACAAAGGTGAAAGTGGAAGTATTTTAAACCTTGCTTGGGTTCTGTTCAGATAGAAAAAGTGGTTGAACAGAGAACATAAACAGACAAATAACAAAGTTGTTGACAAATGGGTTACCTGCATGTTGGTCCTCAAACACCATTATTTGTTTTTAAGGATGAAGGAAGGAGGAAAAGTGCATTCATGGAGAGATGCAAGTATATTTTCTTTTATAATGACTTAATAGCTGGAGAGAATATTTTTTTCCAATAGCTTTGAAATGTTTCACAGATGGGAGAAAGAAAATTATGAAAGGGGTTGTGGCAAAATGAGAAAAAATTAATAACATCTACTGATCTAGCTTCTCTTGGTGGTATAATTATCTGCTTTGATTT